GATGTGTAATTTCTTTCTAAGTAAATTTAACTTCTAGAAATGTTTGAATCACTACAATTTGCCGTTCTCAGTGGTCAAGCAGTTGAAATGGATAAAATTATAATTAAGTGAAAGGAATACTATGTGTCTGAATCTGCTCTGAAAAATGATCGAAAATCATGACATTTGATTCGTTAAACCTTGTTGTGCATTCTTGTTTCATTTCTCGAGCTTCTTTTTCTAACTTTAAAGAGAAGATGGATCAAAGATTGTCATCCTAATGCACATATTAAATATGGCAGCAATAACAATAGTTATTGAATTAAGTGATATTTGTTCTGATAGTTTTTTTATAATATTACAAGCTTTGAGTTATAGCATGAATAACAGTTCATCTGGAATGTTTGTTAATTTTAACCGAAGTGAATGAAATTACGAGAATTTAAAAAAAAGAATCATACTTATTTATCTAAATGCTACGTACATGTTAATAGTAATAGTAAAAATTATACAACAGAAGAAGTTCTTTCAACAGATTTATTAAAAAGAAAAAAACTTCAAATTTTCATATTCTTTCATGCAATCGAATGATAATGATAAAGGTCAATTTAATTGACGAAAGAAACTAATTATCATTTAAATTCTGGCTTACAAGTTTTGTTGTACTGATTTATATTATCTGCGGATAATATTTGAAATGTTTTGTGCTTCTCAGTCCATTTGGTAAACATACAAATGAATCATAACAAGAATTTAACAGTCAATTCACTTCTATAATCTGACATTGTGAATTAATCATTATAACAAATTTTATGTGATGCAAGTAACTACTTCTGATTTAGCAGTAAATATCTCAAGTAAATTGATGCGTTAACAAATTAGTTATTGGTGGGGAAGATGAAATTTTAATTTCATAGAAAATAATGAAATTGAAATTATATTTTCAGATTGCAGGAAGTGCTTTATTTAAATTCAATTTGATAAAGAACAAATCAGTGCGAAGCATATTACATCGTAAAATCGTAAAATTAATTAGATCATATTCAAGTTCCAAGTCAAATTGATAATGTCTATATCACATTTAGATTAAATAAGATAAATATAATGAATTTTTCTATTGGATATTTGTAAAATTCCACAACATTCGGCTGTTGTTTCATTATCTTTTTAATATCAACGTAACCATTGGAATTAACCCAGTAATTGTTCGAATTGATTCATTTAACTAAAAAACGAATTTAAATTCATGGCATCAGATATAGCACCATTCTTCTCTTTTAAACGCTGTATCTGTTTTTCATAACTGCTCAACTTTATGACTCGTTCCATCTCAAATTACATTAATTCTCGATGCAGAAAGGATGCAAAATCGTTGCAACATAATTCCAGTCAAAATTTTGTCAAAATTTTCATTTGCCTTGAGACTATTAATTATTCTGCAGCATAGTTTTCCCTATTAATGTTTATTTTCCCTTTTTGGCGTGTTACTTTATTCGATTCAAAATAAATGCCTCAGTAATAACTATTAAATATTGGCCTCGTGGAATGAAATTTTTATGATGAGTGATATTTTGGTGTTATTTTCTTTCTAATCTAGAAAAGCAGTGACATCAACACTCAGCAGATGGAATGCAATTGTTAGATATTGTCCATGGTACTTCTGGTACTTCTAGTACCATGGACAATATCTTCTGGTGAGGACTAGTACCATGGACAATATCTTCTGGTGAGGACAGCCGAGCAACGATTTTTGTTTCAGTGCAATTACGGGTAACACTGATAAAAACTGGTTCTTTGTTTTGAATTGCCTTTTTTATGTTTCAAGATATCCTGGATTCTACAGCTATATATTTCTGGTGGCTTGATTTTACAAACATATTTGCAAGTTCTTCTAATCAATTCAATTTAGTTCTTAATGGGGCATGAATAGAAAGGCACACCGAAATGTTTAAATTGAAATGTTAACAAGAACAAAACTTCATTAGTTCATTTTTTTAAGCAACAAGTGCTAGTAAATCAATATTTTCGATTTCAGGTTAGCAATACTGATTATGTCTCATGCATTGATTTTTCGAAGATTATAAAATGTACAAAACATCAGATTAAACTTTCGCCTTAATCTAATTGTTTGTATCCATTTCACTACATAATAACAGATTAGAGCAATTTTTAATGTTAATTTGTTTATTCAGAAATTATGACCATTTCATTTCAATTAATCATCGAAACAAACAAGTCGTTTCCGACGTTTGACACACCCTCAAAGAATTTTGCTACCTTTTTCAGTATGTGCTTATACTTACGTCGGAATATGTGTCCCATGCAAAATTTTCTTCTCCTTACTTTAATTTGCGCTTTTCCGTCGAATCTTTGGGTAAGCAATGAATGATTTTTCATGGGTAAATTTAACGTACGTTGTAACAACACGAACAAAATACAGTGAATGAATTTCGAACCATTATTAGCTGTAAAAGCGTTTCAATCTCGTGTTGCCAAATTGTATTTTAATCTAGTCTCTTAGGTTAATCCATTTAGGAATCTAGAAACTGAACCTCATCAAAACATATTAGTATAAATTTTTCAGGGGGAGAATATCACGCAAGGTTCAAGTGAAGGTCACGTTGGAAATATGACAGGTACAGTGCTACATGATAGCCAGTTGTCACCGCTTGATGCAATATTACGTGCTAATAAAGTGAATTTAATTGCTCTTGAAACATTCGGAGAATTAAATCAGTTTTGGGGTAATGTAATTCGACTGTTGCTACCAGTATCTGAACAAATTGAACATGGATTATTATCATTCATACGTAAAATTTTCCCTCAAATATTTGGTGATTTGAATCCCTCGGATATCGCAATAAATAGAGTGACTCGCCCACCAGACCAATCAAATTTGTTGATTAAAGAATTGATTGATGCTTTCATGTTGAGTTTAGCCAAAGCAAATTTTACACTTTGATTCAGTGCACCACTTGACCAGCTTCTTTTCAGTTAATTTTCCTAAATTAAAGTGAACATGCTTTATTAGTTCCGCCATTTTTACACATTCATAAAATTTATTTGAAATTAGAATTGCAACTTTAATTAGGTGTTTTCTTTCTCCAGTGTCATAGTAATTAATTAGATAAAGTTGACTAAATATTGTTAGTTAAACTATTTATCCTTCTAATTTTATGTATTGAAAAGTTTGTTCTTGAAATATTTATTCGGTAATTGAAATAAACATTTACGAATATACTGTTATTTCAAATCCAGCACTGCTTGAAAAATACATATTTTGACCAATTCAAATCCAGCACCGTCTGAAAATATATATTTCAATCAGCTCAATCTGAGAAATGGAAAGTACTGTAGAGCAAGAGTGTGTTTATTATTCCATGCTAAAAACAAGCACTGTTGAAGTTTTATTTAGAAGTATTTGTAAAGATCACGACAAATTTGTCTATCCTAAAATTATCAAAGCTTTTCCGAATAAATGCCTCCTAATAATATATGAAAGATAAGTTTCAATTTTATCATTATTTATTTCAAAAAAAAAAAACATAAATTTGTATTGATGAGAAGCGCAATTTTAAGAGAGAAGGTCACAAATATAGAATAGCGGTGGAAGTAATAATTAGTTGTATTCTTTGGTGTTGTCTGCTGGATGCTATTCGTCTTTTATGGCCATTATTGTCTTACTAATTTATTGATTGATCTTTAAAGAATTTCTTTTATTGACAAAATTTCTTTGGGAGAGAGGTCTCTAAGTGTTCTGGGTTTCGTATTAATTGGATGTTTTTTTTCTTTGCATTTTTTGTTTTTAAATTGGTTGATTTTCTATTTAATGTAAAGGCAGAAGGATGGCTTTTGAGATATAAGACTTAAGACTTTGAAAGTTTTGGGATATAATATATAATCTTTAATTGATTTCTAAATGGAGTTACTGTGAAAGTTATCGTTACTAAATATTGTGTTATGAATGAATGTGACAATTATAAGTTTATATTCAAATGTGGTAGTTACTGCTTTATGTATTTTGTAAAAAAAAAAAGAAAAGTATATGGATTGAACTATATAAAGCACGAAGATATATCGTCGCCTTCTTGGATGAGGTGGAGAGGAGATTGGAGGGACTATGAAGATGAAGAGATTCTCCTGCAAGAAGGTAGTTGACACTGGTTAGTTGTTAGGAGATTATCATATATTTTTGCTCTTCGTTGCAAATGTATAGTGAAGTAGTCGGAATAAGCATTGAGCTTTAATTGCTTGGGCAGTCAAATGTTTGTGGCCACGTGAAATAGACAAATTATGCTAAATTAAATATATTTTAGATCGGATTTTTGACGTATTGTGAGGGAAGCAGCGAATTGCACGGTGTGAGAAAGTTGGTGAGTTTTAGTCTTAATAGCATTGAAAATAGTTATTTGCTTGTAGTTTACGGTGAGATGTACAAAGCTTGGCTTTCGCTTTGTCTAGAATGATTGTTTGCATCCAATCCAAAATGATCACAAAATTACCATAAGTTGTACACCAATATGGGGTATCTGCGCCAGACAGTTTGAAACAGTAAAGAGATAACAAATTAACAGCAAAAGTAGTTTCTCAAAAACTTTCTATCATTAATTTCACTTAAAGATCAGCGAGCTCATTGACTCAATTTCTTTTCTTGCTGCAACCTTAACCTCTAGCTGTACCTGCAGTGACCTCTAGCAGCGGTGTACAAATTCATGTGCCTTCAATTAGGGAAAGTGTTGCTCACTAAACGAAATCGCCTCAAATTTGATCCTCTGATGCGAGAAGATTTATAACGCCTTTTCATTCCAGTGATAAGCTGATGATTTTTATGAGTTGAAATTTAAAGGTTAAAGTAGAAAATGAAAGTGACTGTAAAAAGTAAAATATTTGTAAAGTCAATCTCATTCATACCTTCCAAGTCAATGAATTTTTCTTTCGGACAAGGAGGGATGCAAAAACGACGAAGCTTTGGGCCTTTAGAAAAGGAGAAACAGTAGTGAAGATGGAACAACGAAAAAAAAATGTATAGAGAGAGAGAAAAGGTTAAGAAATGGGATTTTTTACACTTTTTATGGTTTGTGTATATTTTTTTTCTCGGGATTAACTTACTGATAAGTCTTTACTCTTGTATAATCGAATTACGGAATGAATTTAACGCTTTGGGCTCATCAAGCTTAAGTAAACCAGCATTTCTTTTATCATGGACCTTTTTCGGTTCTGGTCATATATACTGCAGTTGTAATGTACAAGCCACTGTAAAAATGAGCTTATAAAATACAAACGAAGCAAGTGTGGAATAAGTATAGGAATTGGAATGATATTATATTAAGTTGCAGTTGACAAGATAAAAATTTTGTATTTATCAAATTACATCGCTTGATTTTCAGACACCTAATATTCTGTTTTACCGAACTACACTTCAACAGCCAGTGGCATATTTCAATAGGCTCCAAAACTTTGCTTTGAAGTTACTCTTTCAGTTCTTTTTGCGTCATAAATTTAGGAATCCAAATGAGATTTGCAGGTGTTGTTTTAAAGAATAGAAGATAAACATTTGCACATAAATAGCTAATTGCAAACAACAGTTGATCAGGGTTAAGTGATTGCTGATAAACCTTCATGTGTCGCCAACATGATCACAACTGCACATTTCTTTGAGTTAAGCATTTGCGCATTATCGACGACAACAATTGCACATTCCTTCAGCCTGAAGCATAGCAGTGATCCTCGAGCCACTTTAAACAGTGACAAAGTTTTGAAACCTTTCAAAATACGTACCCCACTAGTCTTTCCTGTTGACATACACCATTTTCAATGTAATAATTTGCATGACCATGCATAAATATGCAACTGTTATCTTCTATGTTGCAAAATGCGCACTCAAATGAACTGCTAATACAGAAATGTCGTTCTCTAACCGCTTCAAGTTACACAAAATTCCATGCAATTAGTAACAAAATGAATGCTCAAAATAAGCTAACATAATCGATTACTGAATATCGATTAGTGATTAAAAATAATGCACTGTCTGCTAATAAGGCTGAAATAATCTCTACCATATTTCCATAAGGTTTTAAAAATGATATGATTCTAGTTGGTAATGATCTAGTTGATTTATAAACTGCTGTTAATGCATATATATTCATCTATTATGGTTTATTGTAACACCCCGTACTAAGAATCGATTGCGCTTGCAGATGAAAGATTTATTCCAATTTATTATTTAAATTTTTCAAATTTTGCAGTGCAAATCTGCTTATTACTCCCAAAAATGATTGAATAAATCTTTTGCATTGAAATGAATTAAAGTTTTCAATATTGATAATTGAATAAACTTAAACTGTTTGTAAAATGAAATGAAAGGCAAACGGGCTCTAATATCGTTAATATTTTGAAAATTCTAGTGTTTAAATGAACATTATTTGAGAAATGTAAGCCGTACTTACATTTAACAAAACCGATTTTGCATTATATGTATTTTTTGAACTTTTCCAAAATTCCACCAATACCACAAAAAACAATTTTAATTGATTTCGAGAATAATATCTGAAGAGTATAACTTACTTTAATGGAAAAAGAAAATTATTAAAGAAAAATTAATTAAGAAAAGGTTAATTTGTAATAATGTCCGAAATTTATAAAATTGTAAAATTATTTCTAAAAATATGAAATGGAATTACTAAATTTTGTATGATTTCAAAAGTCGTAGCTTTATGTATGATCGTATCAGCTATGTTTATGTTTTATTCTTATTTTCCTTAATTTGTTTACTGTGGTCATGTATGTCAGTGATTAGAACAATACTGTGGCTGAATCGATATGAAGTATACATTTACGGTTTTTCAAATCGATTTGGATTTCAATTCTGTGTTACGAAAAAATTTTTTAAATCACCTTCAATTACAACATAATAGCGGAAAATTTGATGCTTTGAACTTAGCCTTATGAGTTCTTTGTATTATGAGTGAAAAATATTTTTATACAAATCTTTGTAAAATAATTCTCTGAGAATATCATATCTCTGTTTTGCTAAACCCTTGCTGTTAACCAAAAAGACTGAAAGACTATGATGATGCAATCCATACCTTTAAAAGTAACAGAAATAACTTAACATGCTCTAAATTTAATAAATTTAGGTTATATAATGATTGCTACATCAATCAAGATTCATTTAAGTATCCATTCGATTTGGGAAGGAAATTTGTGTTTATACGTAAAAGACGTATAAAAGTTAATTTTTTTACAGTTAAAGAATTAGGAAAATTGAAATCTTTTTGAAAGGAATTTTTTGAATGTCATGAAGTCACTGACATAATGAACATGAAACTGCAGAGAGCAACTTAGAAACTACTGATAGATATGGGTACTCTCTCATGAATAATAAAAAAATGAAACAATATACAAGCGCAATATAGTGATGTGACAGCTATGAAACAAAAAAATGACATTCATCTAAAAAAAGATGCCAGTTACACGAGGATTGGTTTTTTGGAATATTGCTTAGAATTGCGGAAATGCATCTAATCACTTTACATTACTCATGTGAAGAGGTAATAGTAATTATGTTAAAGTGTTGCAACAATCAAGAATTAAGTAACTGCTCAAAATTACTTTATAAGCCAATTTGGAAATATTTTTTGATGACAAATTTAGATATTTATACAAAGTAGTCTTTATATTTATAAATTCATCTTCATACACTGATTTTTATTTACAAAAGTCAATCAAAATTATTGCATGGATCTCGAAACAATAGTTAATGTGACGTTTTCCTATTTTTCAAAAAGTACAGATCAATTATTAAATAATTGATTTTTTATAAAATTATGCTGTCGATATATTTTCAGTTGGAATAAATCTAGTAAAGTAGATGTTTGTTCAGATGAAGATGTTTATTCTTTTGTCCAATACTTCCTTGAATACTGATCTAGGATGGGTTCGATTTTTCGAGATACATCTTCTAGAGATCAAATTCGAAAACTTGAAGAAGTATTCTTACAGTGAACGAACATTCTATCTTGGTAAGCAAATCGGCCATTTATGGGTTGCTAAGAAATTTTAAGAAATTTGCCAAAATAAGTTCACATATGACACGTATTACCTGATGAACTTTCACGCTTGCAGCTATAGTAATTATTATTCAATTTCATTTCTAATAACTTTTAATACTTTTTATTGTCATTTATTAAAATCTAGTTTTCTAGGTCCCAACAACAAGCATTATATTGATCAAAAAACTTCCAAAAGCTATCCCTAAAAGCAGGTTCTGATAAAGTACATAAAATAATCATTCGATTTTCTGTATTAGTTTAGATTAATTTCATTTTTATTCTCATATTTTCATATGAATCTAATTTTAAATTTATGAAAAACATGTATTTATTACTGAAGGGTGAAACAAAAATGAATAATCAATCAAAACTCATTTTGAACCATATTTTTTTGAGAGCCTGAGAAAATTTATCAAAATTTTTTCTTGTTTTCGATGTTTAATTTTCAATTTGTAGTTTAATCTTTATTAACCTTCACCATTTTTTTTTAGTCAGTTACAATTTTTTTTAGCATGGAAATCATGACTGTTAAAATGCTTTATCGAATTTGTCCATTACGTTGTCACAGTTTGTTGTAAATCTCTTGATACATCTAGAGTTCTTCAAACTGTTTTACTTAATTCATTTAGCGATAGTTGAGAACAAAATAGATGAAAAAATGGACCTTGCATTGGTGTAAGTTGAAACTAAATTTTTTTTCTCAATAGGATAGATAATCAATCAGTCGTTAGTATTTCATGATTTATTCAAATTACATTAATATTTTGAGTAATGGAACTGTGTTGGATAGATGAGGTCATGAAGTCAATGTTTCCTTTATTGGCAGCAGTTGCAAATAATTGTGCACGAGCTTGTACTTCAGCTAAAAATGATCGAACGAATAGAAAGAAATGCAAAATGAACAGATCAAAAAAACAAAAGTTAAAATCGTCATATTGCTCTATGTTGCATTTATAAAGAACGTTTTTGTGTAACTAAACGATTTAATTTTTTCCTTTAATAATTCTTTTATTCGTTGCTTTTTAACGACTGCAAAGATAAATGGGAAATTAAAGGTAATCAAATATGAATAGAATCCTAAAATAAGTGAAAAAAAATTAATCTTAAGCTTGCCAATATTAAATACAGCTTATATCGGTTTATTTGATTTTTTTTTCTTTAATTATCAAGCAAGAGAGGAAATGTCGAGCTAGGAGTGACTGCCATCGGTGAGATAGCTATATTTTTGGTTGCTAATACTGAAACCAAACAAAACACACTTGCTAGAAGTCCTCTGCTTCATTATGTCAGTCACTTGCTGATTAGTATGAAAAAAATATTTTTGCGGAAAAAAATGGCTATGGAGAGAAAAAGTTAGATTTAACAAATTTCTCAAAAGTTAAATTTTATTGTTTATTCTACTTTATTAAAATTTTTCCTTTTTTCCTGAGATTAATTTGTAATAAAGAAATAAAATTTCAATAGAATATTGCAGTTAAGAATTCGACAATAGACAATGGAAGAAAAGAAATATTTACAATTTTTTACAATAAATTGCAGCTACTATTCTATTATAACTGGTTTAATCTTCGGAATTTTCATGGCTTTTAAAAACGAGCAAGATTTTGGGTTAGCAAAAGACTGATCATCAAATAATTAGCTATTAATGAATTTTGACTTAAATATTTGGATCAAATGAGTTAATAAGTGTATCGTGTAGCTAATTATCATGCAGATAATATAGTTTAAAAAAAAAGATTTTTTAATTAAAAACACATAATCATGGGAGGAAAGGCAAAAAACGAATGCATAGTTGTAGCATTAAGTTATTGTATACAAGATTATAGAATCCTAAAAAGATGCAAGTTTTAATACAGACTTATCCTAATCAACTTTTAAGCATTTACTTGTAGTAGTTTGAGTTCCTAAATCTTCGACACAATTATTTCTGCTTAAAAATGTTGCGGAAGGAATTTTGGCAATTTTATAGATGAAAATAATTTCAGTCTTTTTATACAGTTTCCTAGATATAGTCATTATTTTTTGCAATAATCCTTTCATTCATTTGTTTTAATGACTGATATGTACATATCGAGAAGTGAAATTGATCATAAGTACTTGGAAAGAACTAGAATTTATTATGGTAATTTGTATTTTCTTAAAAAATTCTATGAATTTTGCATACGATAACTTTTTTTTCTTGTTCATTTGTATCACCAAATTTCCATTTCATAACTAAATTTTGCATTCTAAATATTTTATCAATGCTAACAAATGCTAATTTTACAATTGCAATTGTTAGTATTAAAAGCAGAAGTTGAATTTACTTAATAATTTTACTATAATTTAATAAATTATTGAGTGAGATGTTCCTTAATTTGAATACTAAAATTGTTAAGATGAAAGTGCTGTAACTGACAACATAACATATAATGATGGCAATAGATAGGAATGACGGAACTTTTAGTTTGATAAAAATTTTGATATAACAATAAAAGTTTTAACACAAGAAAAATTTCCAATATCAGAAATAATGCTTTTATTACGTATAGATTATTTTCTTGAAAATGATAACTTAACAAATGTGAATATGGATTAAAATTATTTAGTGATAATTTCCAATATTAACCATGTTGACATCATTTGTATTCCATTTTCTGTTATTCAACTATTTTTTATCCGACCTTTTTATTATCCATATTTCATGATTTTTATTTATGATATCTGATTATATTAATATCTCTAATTTTACATGAATAGTGATAGTGTTCTCATCTTTTCATAAAATTCCGTAAAATACATAAAATATTTT